TCATTTTAAAAACAATTAATATCAAGAAATCACAATGATGTCAAGTAATTATAAAACGTTTAAAAGCTGGTGGCATATCCTCGAAATTTTAGAACTTCCGGTATACGTTTAGCCATGGAATGTACTAATTTCCTCGTATCTTCAGCCGAAATTGTACTCCATTCATCCAATAAAACGATCTTGAGCATTCTTTTGCTGGTAATCGTATGTGTGCGAATAAACGCTAATTCTGCTGTATGCTTAGGGTCAAAAAAACCGGTTTGGCAATCCTAATTTGTTAGCACTTTGCTTCATTTGTCGATTTAAAATATTTAGATAACCAAATTTATTGATTATATTTTTGATAAACTCAATGCCACCAACTCCACTTGCTGCCATACACCCCCTCAATTGAACTCCACCCCCACCATGCTTTACGGTTGAAGTAAGATTTCGCGTTTTTTCGCCCCACCATCTGTGTTCCTTTTATTCTAAATATACAAGATTTGGTCTCCTCCTTCCATAAAACCGATTCCCAGAAAGATATAGGCTTGGTTATATGTTCGTTTGCGAAAGCAATGCGTTTTATAAGATTTTTTAAAGAAATGAATGGATATTTGCGTGCCACTCGCCCATAATATCCAGCCCTTTTAATATTTTTCTTACTGTGTCGCTGCATATTGTTTTTTTAAATCATAGATTTACATCTTTTGCTATTTGGGAAGCGGTTAAACGCGGATTAATCTTTACAAGAGATATAACTTTGCGTGTTTTTCGTTCCAGTTTTTTGAAAGTCTGGGTGACATATCGCACTGATGACTCCGCTCTGTTGACAACTCGTCCGATTTCACGAAAGCTTTCACCGTCCTCCTTAAATATTAAAAATATTTTCCGCTCATCAACACTTTCTTCTTCTTTGCCTTTTGCACTCATTTAGACTAACGCTGAATAATTCGAAAAAATACACACAAATTGCAGATTTTTCCTTCGATTATCTAAATCTGTTTTATTGACAACAACGTACAAAAAATTTACAAGTCTTAAACGCGTGGAAACTATAATAAACTAATGTAATAAGCAGTGAGCGGACACTCTTTCTGCTTATTCTGTATTGCAGAATTCAAAAGATACTCTTAACTTTGCAAACCCACATGAACGCGGCGACGCTATTAGTATGCGCATCTGATATTCTGAAAAGAACTTCAAAAACGCATATATTTTATAAATATTTTTTATTGAAACACATTCCACGAATTGGTGAGCGGAGACTTTTTCTACCTAGTGTATGTATATATAAACAGTTTATAAATTTGCATACATTGCATGTATGTGTATACATAATACGAAATATCCAATTTAAAACACTACTTTCGTTCAATTCAAGGGTGAAACTATTGGTCTGGCGCTGTTATGCAAGTAAAGGCAATTTTGAATTGATAAGTCAAACTTTAATTAAGCTGATATTCACTCATATCAGACATATGTCTATATTTACATAAAGGATATTGGCAGGTAAGATAAATTTGTGGGTATTTATTCCACTAGAGAGGTGCGTACACACAAACTAGTACAAATGTATTTTAAAGCTGTTTTATTTCAGAGGCATTAAAACCCAATTTTGGCAAACGTCAAGCAAAACTTTGCTGGAATTAGTGGCATATGTATAAAAAAAATAAATTCCGCATATTTGAAATAAATTAAAAAAATTTACACCAACTACTTTTTTAAAACTGAAAATGAACGCAATATTACTATAGCTAAATTAATTATTTGCAATATACTGGTTTACCTCGTCAAAAGCCAAATGGTTCCAGCAAACCGGTGCCAGTACAATAATTACAGGAAATCATTAACTTACTTAGATGAACCGTTTGCGAAGGAATTATATCAAAAAATGGGGAATTTGACCATATAGATTATGTGATTTGACAGCGTTGGCCACGAGTGTACAGTTTGACAGCAACATTATTGCTATGAGCTATACTAAGAGACATAGTGTAATATGCCTAACATATCTGTTTAGATACTAAGTGCCATGAAAATTTCGAACTAATTGATAGAAACCAATGGTTTTCTTACACTTTGCGAGAAGACTTGCAAAAGATCTGTAGTAAAATTGTGCATGCCATGATATCGTGAACGAAGATTATACGTTAAGAGATCATACATCCGTCAAGAAGAGTACTCAGTTATTAGGTATTGTTTATTCCCCATAGGAAGTTTGCGAAACTTTTGCACATCCAAAATCTGTAACATATACCATGTGTATATTAAATGCTGATGGAACTGATATCTGGAAATGGTTTTCAGGATCAACTTTTTTAAAAAAATATAAAGAGGAATCTATTTCACCACTAGAGGGGCAATAGGTAATTGTTACAAAGCCAAGTATGAGATCTCTACTCCCATAGAGAATGATCAACATCCCAATTAAAACCAAAAAAGTTGCGCCTGAAATTAACTGTCCACGATCTGACGAAAAGTATATATTTTTATAACAAAAACTTTGAACAAAGGTAAAAATATAATTTATAAAATATTTATCTGTAGATAATTAGATACCACTATAAACGTGCAATATTTCATTGTTGATGTAAGTAGTTCAATGAATTTAACAGCTTTCTTATAATAACTTAATTCATGTGTTATTTTCACCTTTAAACTCATAGTAAAACTCACTACATCAAATGTATATATATAGATAATTGTGCTTGATTGAGTGTTAACTCCTCAGGACACTTAGAAGGTAACGTGCTTTCACCACGAACTATTGTAAAAATGTTGTGCTATAAACTAAATTTAAAGTTAATCTCTTTACCCCATTAAAACTTATACATCCTGAAAACAATTGATGATTTAAAAAAAAAACATAGTTTTACTTAAGATATTCATCCCAACTAACTTATTTCGGTCAAGATTTACAGTTTATTAAAAATCGCCTTCGGTTCAATTATTATTCATCGTTTTTGAAAATGTCAAATGTTCTGCAGCTTTTTGACTAATATAACATCACTGCAGTTCAGCTTTTCTGGCCGGCTGGTTCGCGTTTGTTTATTCAAAACAAGTGACGTTAAGTTCCTTCGCATATATCCATTCAGTGTCACCGTTTTGTTCATGAAATATAAATAATTACATATATATATATATGTACATAGTTTTGAATCAAGTTATTATTTGTCGATTCGAAAACAGTATTGTTGTTGTTATTTTTATTGACGTTGCTGTGGAGTTGTTGAGAATTTTATGCTCGGCCTGATATAGATTATTCTATAAATACCTAAACTATAAACTTACACTTCTGTTATATATATAACCAAGAAATTTAACGACTCAAAAGGTGAAATGCCTTAGATTTATTCTTCAGATGGGAATATTTAAAATCGGCACTTTGTTCGCCGTTTTACTATTTGGTTAACTTTATATACATATGTATGTGTATTCAAATAAGTGAAAAACGCCTTACTTACCTGGATATATTTATGAACTGGAAAAATTTTTTGACAATTTTAGGCATTATCGTCTTTACATACTCTTCCGTACTGGAAGCGCTAGCTACAATAGATGGAACTCGATGTAGAAATCATTAAATAATTTTAACACATCTTACATCACGTAGCATAGTAATTTTATAAAAATCCTTTAGTAATTGATAAATTATCTTAAAGACTGCAATGAAATTTGGGATTTGTGATCAGGTTTTGTCTATTTTTAGGGTCTACTAATAAAGAACGATGATACTATTACGTACTAAATGTAATTGAAATCAGTCAAGTGATGTATGTATAAGGCATGATACTATTTCATCAAAAGCGCCCTTCACTTTTCATACCCTGAAAATGGAGTATTAAGTTTGAAACAAAGTTTCCAATAGGAAATGATCACATCACGAGCTGAGTCGATTTAGTCGTGTCTGTCTGCCTGTCTCTATATACGCGAACTAGTCTCTCCGTGCTTGAGATATGGTTCTGCAATTTTGCAGAAGGTCCTTTCTCAATCAGGAGCTGCTCATTTGTCCGAATCGCCGATATCGGACCACTATAGGATTTAGCTGACATGCAAACTGACCGATCAAAATCAAGTTCTTGTATAGACAATTTGACAAAATATCTTCACTAAATTTGACATAGATTTTTTTCCGAGGCAACGCTAAATACTCCGAACATATTGCTCGGATCGAACCACTATTTCATACCTTCATATAAGTAGCTCCTATACAAACTGATCGATCAAAATCAAGTTAAAGATCTTTATAAAAGATCGTTTTTTCCTTACTATGTAACTTTAACGACTTGAAGGTTGTTTGTATCAAACAAGGTGGTTCGAAAAAAATAGTAAACCGTTTTCCATTGGATGTAAACCGTTAGCCGAAATGCACCTGTTAAGTCTGTAGTTAACGTTTAAGTAATAATCCCAGTTCTAATTATATTATATGTTAAACCTTTCCTCAAAAAAATACATTGTTATTAAATTTATATACATATCTTCTTATAGTAATATAACTGAATGATGTGACTCGTTAGAGCAACTGATTCGGACTCTAAATTTTACGATCCACAAGTGCCTACTGAACACGTATCTAAATATTGGAAAAGGAATCCTTTTAGCAACTTTAGCAGTCATGTTGTTCATAGTGATATTTATAGACAGCGTGTCATTACAAACGTAAACCACTCTACACGTCCATACATATCATACATTTATATACGCAATAAATGCAAAAAATCGCCTCTTGAAAATATTTATGTTATTCGAATATTAATTATTTTCTGCTGATATTTCTCCATTAATTCTCTAAAACGTTATTTTTTTGCCAAATTATTGAATTGTTTATTTATTGAAACGGTTGAAAGATCAATAAACCAATATTAAAATAAATAAAAATATATGAAAATTAGAATTTTAATAAGTAACTGCTTATTATGCGGAAATAGTGAATATAAAAAAATACAGAAAATAAGTTCTGCAACATTATTGAAACTAAATTTTAAAAATTACTTTCAGAAGGAATTTTTAGTTTGTTTCGCTGCTGCATTAGGTTAGGATTTGAGGCTAAAAAGTCAGACGTCATGGAGATAACATTTGGACAGTTGTTGATGAACCAAAAGCCTCGAATATCCACAACAGCCTCGGATCTTTCACAAATTCTTGAGGTGACTAATCTCGATTCCAGCTGATGCCCCTGAATAACTAAAGGCATGAGATCCAGTATATTTCAATCTTAATCTTACGGATTTAGTACAGTTCAGAAGCTTCTAATTTGCCTTTTAACAAGATATTATGACCCTTGGTGTGCGGTAAAATGTTTAACCACTTCATAGAGATGCCGATTGCACAGTGACCCGTTAGAACAAAGAAACTTTCACAAAATGAAAATTAATGAAATATGAGCATTATGAGCAAGCTGTTCAATGGACCTCTTGTGAACTACACTGGGCCGGAGGGACTTCGCTGGTGGTTAACCAGCGCGATAAACTCCCTGTCTCATGAAATTGTGAACTCTTTGCAAACTCCTCAGTTTTGCAAGCTTTCGACGATTCTGTTTTGACCAGGATGACCAGGCCCCTACACGTCTTATCAATTAGGCTAAGCGCCCATTTACCCTCAGAGCCACTTACTTTCTATTTGAACTTCAACCCCTGCGTGAAAAAATAAATATATCTTTACCATGTTAATTAAATATAGCTATCTGAATTGGATGCAATTACCAAATATATGTAACATATATATGTATAATATACTATTTGAGAAATTCATTTTGCCTATTTTGTCTCGAATGCGTAAGGTCTATTGATTTCTGTTTATTGGGTAAATGCGTGAATGTTGACAACTTCCGCAACAGTATAAATCATGTGCATATGTGTTCATAATATTTGTTTGTTCATCCCTTTGCTGAGATTCACTTCGTGAAGTCAAGTGTACATGAACATTTCTTTTGTCAATTTATAGCTTGTTACATACAAATCTATTTTGCACCGTTATAGGCGGGCTTAAGTTCTTAACCAAGATACCACCTCTTTGAAGCTGTGGGAATAACTTACGAACAAAGTTTGAAAATAGTCTATCCGTTGACTTTGCATAAATGAATAGTGATGATTTCGGCTTCTTGGATTAATCTAGATCAAAAAGCTATGGGCATGTGTGGATCACTCTGAATCAGTTGGCTTGGATTCCTAACCTCGACAACTTAATACAGTAATAGTTCACTGAAAAGAGAGAATATACAATAAACACATTATTTAAGTTTGAAAGATTTTCATTGTTCAGTTTCAGCCGGGACTAGCATTCCCTTACTCGCTCTTTCTTTCGCATATTATTACATTTTTTGATTTGTCACGGCATTGTTATTACCTTTGTCTACAATCGTTTTCTCTCATCTTGTTCATGTGATACCAAATTTAAGGGAAGTTACAAATACTTGAGTTCGGAGAAAAGGTTAAACCAAAATTAGACATATTGATAATAACAAATTCTAGGAAACTGCCATTCATACTCTATCATTGCATTGGAATTTCAGGAATGCTACAACGGCATTCCATTATTCAGCATTTTGCATTCATTCACTGATTTAATTTCCACAATTCCTTGCTAGGGGTGCTTGAGGTTTCGTGTAGGCAAGCATAAATTGCAAATGTTTGACAGCAAAATTCTTTTGCTATTTTGACTCATTGGCGCACCCCATGGTTTTGCATTTTTTGTATGTTTGTGGGCATTCAGTGAGCTTTCTTCTCAGGGAGGGAATCAACGATAACCTATTAGAAAATAACGGAAGAAAAATTGCCTAAAAGTACCTTCGTCAAGTATTTAAATGCTGAACCGCAATTTGGAATCCTTAAAGCAATGTATTCAAGGGTAGGTGCTATCAAGGGCATTCCCTTATGGTGTCTCGAAAGAATCGCTTGTTCCTGCATGACTAACCCTTACTCCAAACGTACTAGTTTCGCCTTGTTCTCAAAAATGAAAGATTGCGTTAGTTCTGATGATAAATTGGGAAATTTAAAATTGAGAAATAAATTTGTAAGCGTAGAGAAAAGTTATCGACCTTATTTTGTGTCAATTCACTTTACGAGTTAAGGAAGAATTGTTACTGTGTGCATACCTTTTGTCACAAATTTTACAAAGTTCAAAAAGTAAAGCAATGATAGGTTGTGAAAACAGAAGGACTTCCTCATACTACAATGAGCTCATTGATAAGAAATAAGTACAAAAGTGAAAATAAAGTTTTCGGTGGTGGACAGAACATTGTACGTGTTAAGACAGCAAATAGCTAAGAAGTGTTTACTGCAAATGAATTCAATTGCGAAGCGCTGAATGGACAATTTCCAGTACATTAATTTCAAGAAACACTGGGCCAGCGAACTTACGATTTTTTAGCGCTGCAAAAGGCTGATGTAGCGAGTCAAAATTTAGCGAGTGACAATTGATACAGAAGGATGCGAAGGCAGAGTTATTTTATATCACTACTGTAGATATACCGTTATTGCCTTACAAACAGAGGTAAGAGTACATGTCAATTACTTGCCTGCGGTGGAGGTAGTACATGTCGTATCTTTGTAGTTGTACATATTATCACTATATTGAAAACGCAAAGCCACACTTGGTGACCTCCTATGGAGCCGCTGAGCAACAAAGCGATCGCAATAGCTATTGATTATTTGTCATTTGTACTATTTTCGTATTCCCGGATTAGAGAACTGCCGATTTTATCCTCATTGTATGGAAAACTTAGAAAAATTTAACATTGTTGTTAAATCTAATAAATGTAATGCTGCGTTTATGTCTTATCTCTCCGTGGCCAAAATGTTAGTAGTGATATTTTGTGTTGTAGAAAATTTTGGTTATATGAAAAATTTTTTGTTATACATAATTTATTTCACTTTGGTAAAGAAAACGTTAGTTAGTTGTCAGAATTATCAACCAAAAGGTATATCCCACTTCTCTTTAAGACATTGAGTTTTGGTTAATCTGGTTGGTTATGCAGCTGCTGGTTAACACAGTTTCCCAGAACCAAAGGGACGGTTTCCTAAATCAATAAAGGAAAGATCTTTAGCACCAATACAACTTCCACCGCAAGCTCAACGACTACGACTACTATGATAATAAGCTAACCTGCTGAAACACAAATATTATATTTTCAAACACAAGCATTCAAGTTCCAAATACCAGATCATCCCTCTGTAGAATTCGCCTTCTGCCGAACGGCGTTAACAAAGTGAAGCCCTTCAAAATAAACACGAAACTATCAACCCAAGAAGACACATAAGCTTCGACTTCTTATGGACTTATTAATCTGACTGGCGAGAGAAAAACATGCTTCACCAATAATTTTGCAACGAAATCGTTCATTCTTCTCATTGTCATAGTACCACGTTAATTTGGAGGTATACCCCATTATATAACACAATGATGGATTTCTAGAGTTCATCCGTCTGCTTCAAAACGTCTCTTCAATCTTTTATTTTCACGATTATTCAATATTTGATACATAAGCAGGTCACGTGCATTGAAGAATAAAAAATATATTTAAGTAGAGAATATTTTTCCAATATACAAGCGGTGTTAAGTAGACTTTAAAGAAAAACCGCAAAGCTTTCAATGAGTATATTTCATCATTTTTTTTTTTTCAATATTTCATGTAGTCATAGCTTACTATAAAAATAATCGAGGAAGCAAATCACAACTCTGAGCAAGTGTTCGTGAATAATACTTGCCATAGACTATGTATTTTTAAGGTTTTCGAAATCCATCAATAAGGAAAAATTAAACGTTATTTCTTTTTTATTAATTCTATAGCAGAACAGTAATTTTGCGGCTCATATAATTGTAAACTGTGTTGTTTTTTGTTAGATGTCGCTTTTGTCTTCATTTTTACGCACATTTGTTATAGAAGTACATTTTGCAATTTATTTTCATAATTTGTTTGACGGCCAGTGGAGTAAAATTGAGAGTTAATGGTGAAATGCCAGAAGCAAGAGATCACCGCAATTCGTTGCGTACAGCAGATAGCCTGAGAGACCTGAAAAGTCGAACGTTGGTGTCGAAGAAATAACAAATGGGGTGGAATAGTGCTAAATTAACAGGCGGGTGGTACAATTGAATGTAGTATGACTGGCATGAACTAATACTATTGCATCACACTGTTTTCTGGTATTTTATTTATTTCAATAAAGTAACTGTCTGGTTGCAGAAGCTGTATGCTGTATGTTGTTTATGTAAATGTAGTTGAGCTATAGGTGCGTGATGAAATGCCATGCAAAAGTATTCAAGGTACATCACACTTTGACAACTGTTTGTTATTGTGTTTATGGAACTTGTTTTGATTATATGGCTTACAATATAGCACGTAAATATTATATGTTGCTATGAATGTTCATTTAGTATTGCTGTCACTTTGACATCTAAGAAATAGTTGTATTTTTTGTTGTGAAAGCAATAAGCGAGACGAGCATAGAATACATCACTATGAAGCGGCGGGAGCGTTCGACATGATTCATTGTGCTTTCGAAACTTTCTTGCCACAAGGCATGAGCTACGAAGCTTCTTCAATACTCCACACAATTTCCTTTTATTATGCTCTTCTTTTCCAGCATTCATATGTGATGCCGAAGAAATCAACGAAACTTAAAACACACATTTAATTTCGTATCACAGATATACATGTAAAAATATTGGTAGTTGTTAATAAATATTTAAGTTTATGACATTTCGAACTAAATAAATATATTATTATCCTAAAGATAAAGATTTATGAAAGATTTAGTGCTCCAATCTTATTCCAATTCAACTTTCTTACTTACTTTGTTTATCTATACACATATTTACATAAATTTTCTAATAATTGAATTGAGATGTAACTTAGTTTTGGAATAAACATTTCTTATCCTTATGTCTTGAGACAAATCCTCGAAAAAAACTAGTTATTTAATACAATACTCAAAAATTCTTTACCGTTTGCTGATTTCTCTGTGTCTCTGTGTCAAACTGTAAGAATGTAAAACCACTTAACTTAAAATCCGCCTGTGAGATTGTCACTAATTGTTTCGCATTACCCTTATATTTTTTTCTTAATGTTAAATTTTTCCTTCAAATATTAATTTTTAAGCGTTATAACGTATCAAATATTATAGCAGTTGAGTACTTACCTTTTGTTTGTTTGGAGAATACTCCAGATTATTAGCTTTTGTCAACAACGTTCAAAAAATAACTCCACTTGTAAATCATTGCGTAGGAAAATAGAGTTGTTGTATATATTATGCATTATAGATTACTAAAAAAACTCGGTTTTCCACTTGATTTGTAAGCGTTCTAAAAATCTTTGTAAAATTTCCTCAAGTACAATAGAATATCAAAATGTATTTATACTTAAATATTTTTTTAAAATTATTTTTGTTGTTTCATTAATATGCAGATTGCGCATTTTAATAGGTAAATTAGTTTTTATTTTTACACTGTATATTATGTTGACTTCTTCAATTGTTGTTGAACACAATCGTAGATCTGGTTTTTGAAACTTTCTGCAAAATTTGGAGCAATTGTGGACTAATAAAGAAGCTTTTATACACTTATCTACCATATATATTGTATATACATACATCTATTGGCTCATAAAATCAAGTATACATAGGAACAGAAATCTGCATAGGACCCAAGATGTTTTCAAATTGGCAAAAAAGTATGCCCAACTCATAAACAAACCTGTACCGTCACACGTTATGCTTTACCCCTTTTTTATTGCATAACTCATTTACTAACATTTGTACTAGTATACGAATATTCTGCAAAAATATATGGTATTCAGTATGGTGTAGCATTAAGAAAAATTCACAAGATTTGCTTTTTTAGCTAACACCACAAATTGATTTAAAAAAGCTATGGATCGGCGTACTTAAACGGAAATCACTATATCCTGCAATCGTATAAGAACCGGTAGTACGCTAATAATACAATTAAGAGCCTATATACCATACAATGACAGTAGTACCTACTAGGAATAGGGACTAACAAGCGCTAAAATTAGGTCATATATGTACATAAGTGCGATTGGATTAGGCACTATGGCGTTAGAAAGATAAGATTTCGTACTTAAAAATATTTTCAGATAGTTTTGTCATTGTTTGAACACGCGTCAAAGAGGGACACCAGCAAAGAGAAAATACGACGTATTTTACATTTTTCGTCGATTAAGGCGAAAACGCAAACCAAGGGGCTGAAAATTGAATAGTGTTTATGGTTCTGATACTGTAGTAGTCAATCATCCGTAATTTTGGTTTCGTCGATTCCGTTTCGGTAATATTAATGTTAAAGATGCACTACACTTTGGAAGACCAATTGTCGTAAATATCTATAAAATAATGGAAATCGTCGAGTCCGACCACTGTTTCGATTGCCCAGGCTTGATACAAAAGATTTTTTGGTGCCATTTAAATAAAACTGATGATTTTGCTGGCGAGAAACTCGCCAAAGAGAAGCTTGTGAAAATTGACTATTCCAGTTTTGTGCAAATAGGGACGGTGGTTCAATTACCTTCAAAATGCCAACAAGTAATTAAACAAAACGTTGCATATTTAAACTAAATCGTACAATTCTAACTATGCTAAAAAACTCTCAATTTAAAGCAAAAATAATAGATTTATTTTTCTAGACGTTATATAGCATACATTCTATATTTAACAAGTAAGGAAGGGCTAAGTTGTAGACGAACATTTTACACTGCCGCAAAGTCAAATGGTATACTCGTTTAAGATTTCTTTGTGGATTTACTGATATTTTCGGTAGAAGGTCAACTATAGACACTGGGGTCCATATATTTAGTACTTAGGGGCTTGAACAGTTTCGGTTCGGTTTAGACAATTTTTGGTCACAAGGTGGCATACTTTAAACTAATTATTCACGTAAAGTTTTACCCCGATATAGTCACTGTTGCTTGATGTGCATAGTGCAAAGTGAAAGAATCAGATGGAATTGAAAATTATGTTATATGGGGAATAGGCGTGTTTGTAGTCCGATTTCGCCCATTTTCACACATACATGACATAGAAATATGAAAAGAACGTTACGCACCAAATTTGGTTAAAATCGGTTAAGCGGATCCCAAGATATGGATTTTCACCTAAAGTGAGCGGTGCCACGCCCACTGTCTAATTTTGAACGCGGTTCCTATAAAGTCATCTCATACCATCCCAGAGATAAAATTTAATGTCTCTGGCGTGTTTAGTGCTTGATTTATCGCGCTTTTAGTAGTTTTTAACAGTACCGTTATATGGGGAGTGGGCGGAGTTACCACCCGATTTCAACTGTTTTCACACTGTAGAGGTTCTAAACACATTTGCTTCCAGTGAATATTGTTATTATAGCATTAGCGGTTTAGGATATATGCACATTAAACTTATTAGGGGCGGGACCACGCCCACTTTAAAAAAAATTTAACTACAGATGCCCCTCCCTAATGTGATCCTGTATACCAAATAACAGTCTTGTATTGTATTGCGGAGCTTAGTTATGGCAGTGGTCCGATTAGAATTACAGATCATGACATATAATGTTATATATAATACATATATAATATATATATATTATATAATATTATATATATGTATTTTATAGAGCTTACAAGTTGACATCAACGCTCAAAACATAGAGAAGGAAGCAGGGAGAGCTCTGCAAACTTCTAAATTTCGTACGGTATAAATAAAGTTTGTTCTACGCCACAAACAACACGAAAATACTGATTCCGGTCTGTAATTAAAAAAGGGGAACTTCATGTGGTCAGAGAGCATTGTATATTGGGATTCGTTTTCCCCGGTATTAGTCAGAGGCACGAAGAAGTTAGAATTTTCAGTAATTTTTTTTGCTATTAAATCATTTTATTTTACAAAAGTAGTAATATTTCATTATTACACAACGTTTTGACTTGAAATCACGAAAATATCATTAAAAAAAATTTTAATTTTCAAATTTATAGCTGACCCAATTCCAAAAAAAGGTCCCTGCGGTGGCAATCATAAGTCCTTTGAGATTCATTTAAAATCAATCGGATATAAAAAATTAATTTTATAAATAGATAATCCTGGGCCTGATCGAAGCTTTTTTTTAAATTAACAAAATGACGGTTCAGGAAATTATTTTCTAGATTTTTGGGAAAAAATCGACAGTTAATTGGTTTTAAAAAATCGAAATTAAAAAAAAAAAACAAAAAGCTTAGATCAGGCCCGAGTTTATTATGTATTCTAAAAGCTGTATAGTTTTGAGAAAAACGCGATGTGCCCGAGCGCTCTTTGTTATTTGTCGAATAACTCAAATAGTAATTATCGTATTAACTTTAAATTTCAGAGAATATTTTGAAGATATTGCACTTAACGAAAATGTAAAAAAAAAATTTGATTATTTGAAAATTCTGACTACCCCTAACCGCTTAAGACAATCAAGGAAATTGCGACAAACCTTTTTAAGTAATACAAGTGTATACAAAGGTAACTTTTTGCGAAAAAACAAAGATAAAATTCAATATACCTAAAATTTCCTTGAAAATGCTAGTGTGACTCTGCGATGTCTTCAGAGCAAGGCAAACGAAAGGAGTTTAGAAAACCAAAAACAATAACACAATATT